CCCATCTATCATGCCTCTAAGCCGCTGGAAATTGAAAAATCCAGTTTTATGCCTGATATGCACACCCTTGTCTTTTTGTCTCTAGCATTTTATAAGATGCTTCTTTAGAAAATTGTTTTAAAGCAGTGAGATTATTTTATTATCTCTGCTTAATTCTAGAGCTTATGTTCTCTTACATGTCACACTTTCAAATCTTTCAGCTCCTCTTATTTGCTCTGTCTCAGGATTTTATCACTCACTAGTGAGAAATTCCATGTAATACGCTTTAGTGGGGGGAAAGTGAATTTGTTCTATGTTGTTAATGGCCTCTTTGCCTTTGTTCTCTGTTTAATGGTGAGTATTATTTCAATAAGGACTGAGATTGGAAAGCAATTGTCAGGCTGTAGCTAGAAATGTTGATTATTCCAAGTCTGTGACTGTCCTGGCTGTTCCTGTCTCATGCCAGGACATGGCTGGAAGGCACATCCCATTTTACCTGTGGTTTGCTCTGTTTGTTTGTTCTTCCCCATCCAGCATGAGTCCCTTCTTTGTGATGTCTCTCCTCTTTGGCCTGATTTTTGGACAAACAGCATCACTCTGTGCTCCTGCTGAGTACACAATCCACGTGGAGAAGCGGGAATGTGCCTATTGCCTGGCCATCAACACCACCATCTGCGCTGGATTCTGCATGACTCGGGTACGAGATGTTTCTGTAACAGCCACCACTGCAAACCAGGGCTCTGTTCTCCCATAAAATAGTGTGCAAATGAGCAAATTGTAGTAGAGTTTATCACAGGCAGAAAAACTGCACTGTCACCATGTTTTCAAGTTAGCTTTTTGAAAACGTGGGGATGAAAAATGCCAAGCCTCTGGGACACTGGTTGATAAGACCAGTGGCACAACAGAGACCGTCTGTGGGCAGTTTGTAAGGGCAGGATGGAACAGGTAAGGAGCAGATTACATTGGGTAACTCTTAATTAATGTAAATAACTTAATTAATGTAAATAACTTCTGCTCCCACTGCTGCTATCCCAGCTGGATGTGGGGACAGCTCTGCAGCAGCCATACCACTCCACACAACTTCACTGTTCAACACAGCATTCTGAGTTCCAGCTTGGGCAGCAGGGAGCCAGAAGAGATCACAAAGCACAGGACACACTCTGAGCCACGTGGATTAGTCAAACCAGAAAAACAAGGGGAATGTGCCTGTGTGGGGAGGGAGCCCCAGTCACAATTAGACAATACAGTCACACTCATGTACATGAGCATACTGAAATGCTCAGTACTACCAAAGCTGGGCTCAGGTATGAGTTTTGGTCTCTGCACCTCACAGGACATTTCTGACACACGTGTGCCTCAGTGAAACAACAAATTTCTCTTCTCTTTGCAGGACAGCAATGGCAAGAAGCTGCTCCTCAAGAGTGCTCTGTCCCAGAACGTGTGCACGTACAAAGAGATGCTGTACCGGACAGCGCTGATCCCGGGCTGCCCTCACCACACCATCCCCTACTACTCCTACCCCGTGGCTGTGAGCTGCAAGTGTGGCAAGTGCAACACTGACTACAGTGACTGTGTCCGTGAGAGGGTCAGGACAAACTACTGCACTAAGCCACAGAAGCTCTGTAACCTGTAAAGCTTTCAGTGGGATGTGGGTGAAATGTACTGCTCTGCTCACACCTCAACAGAAATAAAACTGTTTCATATTTGGTTTGCAAACTGCTGTGCACAAAGATTTGTTCTGAAGGTGTATCGTTAGTTGCTTCAATTAATTGGGTGTTCTGAGACAGGCAGAAAAGAATGATGATAAAAGCTGTATGTTTGTATTGGGAACTCACATGAATTTACTTTGGAGAAGGAGGAGACAGGACTGTGTGGATGTATCAGCCTTTGCTCACAAATCCCAGATATTTTCTGAAGAGATACTCAGAGATTTGTTATACTGACATATTAGAGAATTTGATATTGATTTATTTCAGAGTTCACCTATTTCACTTGATATATTTCAGAGTTTTAAAAGAGGCCATACACTCTCTTGGTATTGAACTTTTAAAATAGATTTTGACACATACTTACAGCCTTCAAATTAGCAGCAGTATTTTTCCATCTATGTATTATTAATTTAGATACTGTAGATCTGTGTCCTCCCCACTGTTGTCCAGACCTGTGTTTACTGGGAATGCTTCTCTACATTAATGTCTCTACATGAATGGCATAACCCCCCCTTCCCTGCAGAAATACAGTTTGAACTACACCTGTCTCTGTGAGCACTGAGGAATCACTGCAGCTTCAACGCTGGCTGCTCTGTTCTCACAAGGGGAGTGTGCTGCCATCAAATGGAAAGCAAAACTCAAAAAATCCCATTTTTCCCCACAGGTGAACAACCTCCCTGGGAGTGGAAGGAGAGCTGAGCTGTGTGCTGAACATGCACAGGTGAGAGTGCAGTGCCAGGAATAAAGAAAAGTAATGCATGTAATTAATGTAAACTAACAACTGTTTCCTTTCCACTGAGATTGTAGCTCCCAAGAAATTACAGATTTTCCATGCACACATTGCTTGAAATAGTAAAGGAACCAGAATTCACAGGATACAAATATGAAATGTAACATTCTTAGAAAAATCCTGCCTGCAGGATTGCAGTTTTCATGACTGTTCCTAGAATCTGATTCTCTGTTCCAAACACCTTTGTTTTATTTAATCTGCAGCAAAACCTGTGAGAAAGCCCAAGGGAAACTGCTGGTGCCTCCCTGGAGCAGGGATTCGGACTGGATGAGCTCCAGAGGTTCCTTCCAACCTCAACCAACCCATGGCAGTTTGAATATGTGTCACGGATTCTAAACAAGGTATGAACTGCAATTATCATGTGCATTATCTGGTGATAAAGAAATACCTTCACAGGCAAGGTTTGAAAATTTAAATACTCCAAAAACAAGTTTGAAATTTACAGAAAATCCAGAGCATCTGCAGGAGCAGCCCTGCTTCTGTACAAAAGGATCCCTTACACCTGTGGTTTAAACAACCCAGTTATAGCTAATATTGTACAAGACTATTTCTAAATCTCTTCGGAGCAGAGGTTAGTTACAATTACGTTACAAATGCTGTCTGGTGGTGAGAGTGTGATATTCCCAGCCCCTTCTGTGTATCACACAGACGAGCTGTGGTCTCCCAAGCTCTGCAAGGAAGAGCTGCAACATGAACTGCTGCTCTCTTGTTGGTGAAGAGCACAGGAATGGTAGAAAACCTTGGGAAATAGGAAATAGGTATTTATTGAACAAAGCAGCCCTTATGGTATCTGGTAAATGCCAAAGAAACAAAGTGTTCAGCTTTAAGATAAGCCAGAGCTTTCTCAAGGTGTCTGGACTGTTAAAAATGTTATTTAGCACAGGAAAGTATAATTCTGTTTACTATTAAGCAGCACTTGTACTTAGCAAAACAAAAAGAGGGTACTTGTCCTATTCACAGTATCAGCAGCACCGCTAAGTTATTGTAATGTCCCTTATGGCCTGACAGATTTGTCTTCAGTACAAACAAAAACCAAGTCTACTTTTATAGTTAATGCTTATGGAAAATCATTGAGAGAAAAATAACTAATGTGCCTTCTTTTACACTTCAGAAAAACCCAAAGTGAGACGTTTGCATTGTGGTAACGTGTCTATTTAACCATACGTTTCCATGCCCTCCGAGGACTGTGTTAAGCAGTTTTCGTGCTCAAGTTTAAGACCCCCAGGCCCAGTGATAAATCCCTGTTCAGGTGATGATTCCTTCCAGACATGTGTTTGTTACCTTCCATTTATCCCAAGACGGTTTCCACATAACTCAGCCATGGATTTGCAGGCAATCCAAACACCCTCACCTTGTGTCCGTCCCTCAGCCCGGGTGGGGAGGGCACAGCGCGGGCTGGGGGGGCCCGGGGCTGGAGCCGCGGCTGCTCCCGGCGCTCCGCGCCCGCGGCAGGGGCTCAGAGAGGCACAAACCCGGACGCGTTCACATGTGGAGCACGGAGAAGGACAAGGAGAAGCAGGGGAAGGAGAAGCAACAGAAGGAGAAGCAGAAGCAGCCCGCGCTACCCCCGGTGGAAGGAGCGGCCCGCGCTCCGCACCCGCGGGGCTGCGGCGGCACCCCCGGCCCCCAGGGGGCGCTGTGGCGAGGGCTCTGAGGGGCGGCGCCGCCTGTACCGGCCCTGTGCCCGCCGGGGCCGCCGCCGCCGCTCCCCGGTGTGTAAAGCGGCGTGGGCAGCACTCGAGGGGGGGATTCTGCCCCTGTGCCCTGCTCAGGTGAGACCCTCACCTGCAGAGCCGCCTCCAGCCCTGCGCGCCCAGCACAGGAAGGAGCAGGAGCCAGTCCAGAGGACGTACCAGGATGATTAGAGGGATGGAGCAGCTCTGTTGGGAAATTGGAATTGTCCAACCTGGAGGAGAGAATCTTCGGGGTGACCTTACTGAGGCCTTCCAGCACCAGAAGGGAGACTACAAGGGGGAATGGCTTCGCACAGACAGTAGGTTTAGACTGGATATTAGGAAGAAATTGTTCCCTGTGAGGGTGCTGAGGCCCTGGCACAGGGTGCCCAGAGCAGCTGTCGCTGCCCCTGGATCCCTGGAAGTGTCCAAGGCCAGTTGGACATTGGGGCTTGAAGCGGCCTGGGACAATGGGAAGAGCTTTAGGGGGTTCCTTCCCGCCCAAACCATTCTGGGATTGTGGCACCGCCCCGCCCGCAGTGCGAGCAGCCAATGGGGGGCGAGCACCGCCCGCTGTGGGCGGGGCCTCGCCGGCACGCGGGTCCCTGAGGGGAATTCCGGCGGTGCCGGGTTTGGATCCCGGCGGGTCCTGAGCCGGATCGTGATCCCAGTCCCGGTCCCGATCCCAGTCCCGGTCCCGGTCCCGGTCCCGATCCCAGTCCTGCTCCGTCAGCTGGAGCCCACCCGGTGCCCTGGATGCAGCAGGGGAGGCGGAGGCAGCCCCGCGGTGCCCTCAGGGCCTGGGGGGGCTCTGGCCGCGCGGATCGAGTTCTCTCCGAGAGTCGTTTGTTCCAGGTTATTTTTATTAGGAAGTTGTTTCAAATTCAAGACACAAAGCTGATAAAACGCCACTTCGGAACACATCATAGGGAAGTGAAAGCTAATTTCAGCCACAGAGTTAAGTTTGTTTTCTTTCAAAGCAAGAGGTAATTCTGCCACAGACTTGGCAGCATGAACTGAAATGCCAGTTCTGTCCAAAATCAAAATTTATGCTGTGCCATACACATTATCCAGGAAGTGGTTAGTGTTTTGGAGAACCTTGTGGCTGGAGCACCAATAGAGAGGAAAAAGATTGAAAAGCTTTATTTATGTACATTTTCTATGGACAGCATCCAATGCTGTTAATCCATAGCCTGCAAAGGCTGTGCAATACAGCATTTGAGGGCTTAAGACAACTCAATTTCTGTTTCAAGACACATGAAACGGTGTTTTGTTATAAAACTATCAGTATCAAGACAAGTGAAATACTACTCTTCGTTGTAGGGATGTCACAGGGCTGAGCTTCATCAGCTGCTGTGTGATTTCTGAGAGGTACCAAAACTGGCTGAGGTTTCCCTGTGACAAAGGAAGCTCCCACTGAGATCAGTAACTTAGAAAAATTAGACAAGGGAAATGTGAATAAGGGTGTTTAGAGACACAGTAAGGGCATCAACAACTTACATCTTTATGCTTTAGAACAAACTGACAGGAGAACAAGAAAACGTGTGTGATGTGCTTTGAAAATTATACCACCTGGAGGGATCTGATCTTTTGTCACTTTCCTCTGACACAGGTGCAAGGGACAGGATAAATGGGTATTTTTGCTGTCTTATGTGGCAGTAACTCTGAAAAAATACCTTCAGTTACTAAGATGCAGAGAAAACTGCAATTATATCAAGCACCTCACAACAGCAGGAAACTACAAAAGACCTTTATCCCTGGATTCTGTTAAAGGCACTAGTATATGAATAACATGTTGATTTCCAGCTTAATTTATAGCAATAACTTAGAGAACTAAAGCAGTAACAGGTACTGTCCTGTTTCTGGTATGCAGTGCAAGTATCCCCTAGACCTAAGTAACTGCAACCCTAAAGCTTATGCAGGAATGCTCAGAAAAGTAATGCTGTCTTTAGAGGAAGAAAAAAACAAATCACAAATCCAAAACCCAAAACTTTCAGCAGAAAGTTTGGTGGCTCAAGTCTGAATTTATAGAAGGTTTTTTCCTACCACTTTTCCCCGTTTTCCTGAGGCACTGGGGTGGTTTTGTACTTCTGGGGGAGTGGAGGGCTGGGGAAGCAACAGCAGGTTCTGCAAGCTGCCTTGGCATTCAGTGCATCTCCAAGCAGGAGTGGGCATCTTCCAACTTACTCAAGAAATAATAAATAAAAAGATAAACTCTGGTCCTGTCATTACATTCTGGTGCTATGAATGTGAGGAATGTGTAGATGTGTTTAAAATGAACAGAACACTGTCATTATGAGGGGGAATGTAACACAAGGAAATTGCTTTATTTGCAGGCAGTTTCTATCCCTGTAGGACAAGAGTCTTGGAACCTGAACCACTGGCTCTGGTGCTATTTTTACTGATTTTCCTGGAAGCTGGCTTGTCCTGAGTGGCAAAAATGACACTCTACAAGAGTTTCTTCTTTCTGCCAGTACTACCTTGGGACAGCACACCCCAGCTGGGCACTACCCCACCATCTCTCCAGACACAAGCATTGTAGGGACAGTCTCAGGTACACCTGGGAGCCAGGAAATTGCTTTGCTGGCTGCTGTGTTAAACTGATTTCTAAGGTTCAGCTTGAGACCCTCATGGATTTGCTGCCCCTGCTGTTCTCCCAGCTGAGCCTGTGTTAGGAGCAAGCAGCAGATCAGGGCCCTGTTTCCTGTGCTGGTTCTTGCAGAATGAGGTCCCAGGCCCTGTTTTTAATTAACATCCATTGCTAATGGATGCTGTGACAGAGTGACACAAGCCTCACTCTTTTCTGGTGTGTGATTTCACGTGTCCCTGCCAGCCTAAAGCTCAGCCTAGACATGGCTCAGTCAGTGCCAGCCGTGCCCAGCTCTTAGTGCAGTGCCACAGCTCGTGGTTGGATGACTGGAAAAGAGAAATCCATGGAAGAGACAGCAAGATGTGTCAACTAAACCAGAGACTTGGAGCAGCAGCACTACCCCAAGTCCTGAAGTGACAGAAAACTGATGGGAGTTTGAGTTTCTTTGTGGAATACGAGATAAAAAATAAATAATAGCTAGAGGGTGGTGTATCCCACACATAACATATTTCCTGAGATCCCATGTTGATCCCCTGTGTTTCAGTGGAACAAGGAGCCCATGACTTGTAAATTCCAAGGCCTCTTAGACAATGGTCTATTGGAATGTGTAGTTTAACTGAACTTCTCCCCAGCATGTCTGGAACAACTGCATCAGGAATCTGAACTGGTGATCACCAGGTCTGCTGCTATGGGGGTATAGTTAGCAAAAAGTTGTTCTCTGAAATGGTGAATTATCTTGAGTAAGCCAAATATTAAGAGATCCTGAGCCTTTGATGTAACATTTTTCTGGGGACAACTTTCTCCCTTCTAGGCTGGTTCAAAAGGAACATTCTCTTATGAATAAATATGACAAATAGAAAAATTAAAATATAGAAAAAAATTATGTAAACGCAAACCCTGAGGTATTTCAAGCACACAGTGTAATTTTTATACCTGACAAGCAATCTAAAGGTGCCAGTAAGAAAACTTACTTCATGGCTCTGTAAAAATGTCCCATCTTTCTTTCCTGCCTTCTGGCCCCAGGAAGGGGCGAGAGGTTGAGGTAAGAGCCCCGTGGAAGCTGTGATAGTCACAGAAGCAGAAACTGAGGATATTAAAGTGCTGTGTGTCTTTTTCTGACCGCTTTTGCTCTTTGTTTGGCTTCCACAGGCCAGTTAGATTCTCTACAGATCTGACAAAGGGGCTGCTTTTCTGGACCTAGCTCCACTCCTGCACCAGTTTGTAGCCACAGTGAGGCTTTTGGGATAAAGAGGCTGCTGAACGTGGATTCTAGTGGCCCCTTGAACTCACAGCTGGGTTTTTAGGTGTATCTCAGCCTAGCTTGGGAAGCTTAAGCACACTTTGCACTGCAGTTGGTCCCAAATGACTGCCTGGTCTTGCCAGCTTCCCACCTCTTTCCCCCTCTTCCTTTAACCTGGATCTCCTTGGACGTGTTTTCTCCCCCAGAGCTTTCTGCATTTGCATGAAGGGTCCAGTCTTACAAAAAACAAATACCCAGTCTCTGCATGACAGTGAAGTCAGTGGGTCTACTCTTCAAGTTTGCTGGAGCAGGCCCTAAGGCATTAATTGTTTTTTTAAATAAAGTACAATTTTATTAGTTCTGCTCTGTTTGGGCTTTGGAAAATAAAGTCACAAAATGGATCACAGGTCTTACTTTTGGCATTTGTCCCTCTGCTAATTCTTGGGAAACAGGGGCTCGGTGTGAGAGGGTTCTGAGCACTGTGTCCCTGGGGGATGTGCAGACACAACGTGTTCCATCTGCAGACATTTACCTGGACAGGTACTGCACCTCCAGGGACCTGCTCACATCCAGAGGTGTTTGTAAGGAGACACAAGCATATGCTTTCACAAAGTCTATACATGTGTAAACTCTTAATTGCACATATATAAACATTAAAAATCAAATTAGTCTTAGATGCACCTTTGCTCTTTTTTCATTAAAAAGGACATTTTAAACTCCTTTTTTTGTCCACTTCAGTTTTACTGTAACTAATACAATTTACCTCATCACCTAACAGGATATTTTCCTCTCAGTATGTTAAAACACTGATTAAAATGCATTACAGTTATTAAATTGGGTAGAAGAGCACTTCTTGTAAGCTTAGTCTGGAACTCCTGGGGCATAGTTGTGCAGTGACAGTTTTAGATCATTTCTCTCATGTTACGGATCGTACAGCACAGAACCATGCTGAATATCATGCCAAAGATCTAGAAGAGAAGGGATGTGATTTAGGGATCCACTTACAAAACAGTTATAAAACAATTTGCATATCAGACAATCTGAAGGTCCCTATGGCAGAGTAGTGACTGCTTCCATCTACAAACCCCAAAACATCAGACAATAAACATGGAGGAGGTTTCACTGATTTTATCAGCTCACACTGGTTTCACTCTTCTTTGTCCTAAATGTCCATCCAAGCACAACTACCCCAAATATTAATGTTACTAACATCAACTTAAGTGACATAATAACTGTGACTATTGGTGGTATCCTGGTATTGCACTGGAGTGTTCTGAGTTCCAGAATGTTCTGCATGGAATATGACACACATTAGAGTCAGAGCAGAGGGTGACTGCAGAGCCCCCGGAGCTGCTGCTGAGCTCTGAATAGTTCCTGTGCTCAAGAGCAAGACTGTACATGAAATCTAAACCCCCACTCGTGTCAGGGAACTTGGTCACCAGAGGGAATGACAAAAGCAGAGAACAGTGGGTGTTCCAGAGGCTCTGCTTTCTTGCCACAGGTCAGTTCTGCAAAGCAGCTGCCTCCTGAGGCTGCACTGCTAAGGCTGGGAGATGGGCAGTTTAAGCACTGGGTTGATGTTCCCTCCCCACACATGTCCCTAAGGCTGGGCACAGCTGAGCTCTCACAGCCCAGCAAGTGGCAGAAACAAGGGCAGGAAAAGGTGCAGGTGCATTTCTGCTGCTGAAGAGGTTGTGGTCACTTCAGGACCTTTGCTGTGTCTGAGGTGGGGATCCAAGGGACCCAATCCCAGTTCTGGTGTGTCCTTGATGTTATTGATCTCTGTCCCACCCCCACTGTGTTTTTGAGTTCCTTCATGTTTCATACAAACCCCAGGGTTGTTTAATTTGCACATCATGGTTTCTGTTACCTGCAGAAACCCTCCAGCTGCTTTTCAGTGTCCACATAAATCTGTGAAGGTCCTGCTCTTCCCAGCAGCTAAAGGAGTGTTTCTTTACTAATACTGTGGCTCCTCATGCTGCTGGTGTCCGAGTCTGAATGAATTCATGGCCCAGACGTGCTGGGAAAAGCTTTGTGCTAAAGCCTGGTGAGCCCCAGCCTGCCGGTCCTGCTGTGTCCTTGGGACAGGGTGACATCTATTGGCCACAGCTCTAGTGGGTATTCTCTATTCCTCATGAAAACTCAGGAATGTATCCTAAAGGATTGAAAGCATCAGGGTGCAGTTGTTTTGGAATACAGTAAATGCTGCTACAGCCTTTTGCTTTTCAGTTTGGTTCACGTGACCTCTGCTCTCCTACTCTTACAACAAAAGATTACCATTATTTTGGATCCTGTATAAGGACACAAAATGAACTTGAAAAGCACAGTCACACAGCTCTGCTTGCACTGATGGGGGCAATTCCCAGGGAGAAGACACACTGGAAGCAAGAAGAATTGAGGAATCTCAACAGTTGCTGCAAAAGACCTTCCACAAAGCTTTGAGTAAGGGACAGGGTACTGGGCTCAAGGAGAGATTGGAGAACATGGATTTACTCACTGTGATGCTAGCAATTGCAATTCCCACAATTCCAACTAAGCGCAGCTGAGTATCAATTACATTCTGAATTTCAGCCAGGCAGTTCTGTTAAAAACAAAATTAAAATATTTTTTTATGCCTGGAAATCTATATTTCAATCAATTCTATCAGCTGTTCTCACTGAGCAAGAGATAAACACAAAAATATTAGTGCAGTCACCATCCTAATTCCTGCATCTAAACCTTGGGTTTTGCTGGATAATTTTCCCAGCATCTTCCCTTTCCTGGTGAGGCATCTGTACCTCTTGCCTGGAGAGGCTGACACATGCAAGTAATTTTCTTACACTCAGTTTTCTCCCTAAATTTAAACTCCTTTATATAACAGGCCATGCTAAATCAAGAGGTTTGGTGCTTCATTTTGACACTGAACTCACAAGCAGATTCCAGAAAAGATAGAAAGTACAGAAATATATTTCTTAACACCAATGAAGTTTCCAGTCAGAAGGCTCCATGCATGACTAAGGTGGACACTTGCCAAAATCCAGCCTTCATGGGGAATTTGGGGTCCTGTTCCCTCCTTCTCCCTTTTCCTTTCAGATGGTGCAATATTGTCTCAGCAACCATGGGATGCCACAAACAGGTGTCATGACTGAGGGCATTATGACCTCCAGCTTAATTCTGCCTCCACTCTGCTCCATTCCATAAGGAATTTCATGCTGGAATTTGCAAGGCAAAAAGAACTTCTTCCTTTCTTTTACTTACAGAATGTCTCAAATTTTACTAAAGAACTGACACGAAGAAGTGATCAGAAGAAGCAGGACAGAGGACACTTGCCTTTGGCAGCTGGATGTTCTCTGGACAGGGTAATCCTGTTTGTTGCTCCACATTACCTTTACCACAGCACTGGAGCTGAATGACAGAGAGAGATGGAGGATCAAAGAGGGGAAACCACAGACTGTTTCATAATGACAGTCAGTTATTATTTTGTCCTGATTTAGGGACATACTTTCATACTGAAAGTGAGACAATAAATAACTAAAAAAAAAAAGAATTTGTACAGATCAAATAATAACCATATTCTCTATATTTAAACTGCTACTTCTGGTAGAGTTCCAACTGTGTGGGACAAAATTTTCAAAAATTACTTTCAATTGTCTGAGGCCACAGCAAACAGCCACATTTGTATTAACAACAATGACCAGAAGGGATTTTTATTACCGTATTTCATAACAAAGCAAACAAGTGGATTTGGGAAAAGCAGATCCTTGGCTTACAAGAAAACAGGAGTTGTTAAAGGGAGAATGCAGGAAGTTCAAATATCACATACAGAATTATGGGCAATGCACAAAAAGTACAGCAGAGAATGCTGGAATTTTATTTCTGACACAACATCGTGCTGGGTTTGGAGACAGTAATAAATCAGAGTTTCAGAGGGTTTGTTTTTCCTGTTTGCCTATCTCCCACAAAATGCTTGGAATTCCTCTTTGGGTCAGAAATAAGAGCTATGGGAGAAGGACAAAAGGGTCTGAGGTTGTGAAATGTTTGTTCTAAAGAACGTGGGAATTGCTGTAAGGAGCAACAAAGCTTGGGCTTGCTCTCCATGGGAGGCAGTGCAGATCCAAGATGGACACAAACAGGATTAAAGAAGTCACAGGTTGTAACTCTCATTCAGACATTCACTTTTTGGGTGGCCTGAACTGTGTCACATATGTGCTTTTGGTCTTTCAGTGACTTGGTTCAGCCACACTGTAGGTCCTGGGACACAGGTCATGTTTTCTCTGACAGATGCAGAGGGATGCAGATATTTCCCCCTCTCTGCACTAGCAAGTATTTATCTGTGGATTTCAATATCCAGAAGAGCCATAACAGTAATTTCTTCTGCACACAAAGACCAGAAGCATCAGAAATTTCAAAGCCTGGCTAATTGCACTTTCAAATGTCGAGATCCAACAACGAGAATTCTGACCAAGCCCACAGGAAACCCTCAGGGTGTGAGCCTCTGATGGGATTTTAAGTACATTCAGTTCTATTTTGCCATACCTCAGAGGAATTCTGGATTCAATGGGCAGTGTGACAGTGGAGCAGTGGAGGGAGGTGTTAAGGTGGAGGAGTACTCACAGCCACGTGGTAGCGATAGATGGTACTGTTCATCTTCCCCACTGGGTTTTTCATGTAGTCCTCATAAGCATCTTCGTAGATTTTCTGGGCTTCCTGTATTGCCTGCAGAAATCACACTAAGTGAGTTGCAGATCAGTCTTACCCCTGATCCAAGACCTTCACCTTGTGTCCTCAACCTCCAGGGCAAAAAGTTGTGCCTGGTAAACGTGTATGGTGACTCAAAAGCCAGGAGATTTTGTGGCCTGGTGGCATTCAGAGGGTCAGAGTGTTCATAGGCTCTGTGCTTTGGTTAAACACTCTGAGTTGGGGAAGTTCAGTGCCTGAATTTGTTTGCGCTTCTCCCAGGCAATACCCTCTTTTTCTTACAGCTCTCCTTGATGTTCCTTCAAGGCTGAACCACACCTCCACTTTTTCTTGAAGAGAGGAGGCAAAAACTTCATCCTATTCCAAACTTGTGATAACACAAGCTGTCATTGGCTCCAGATAAGAATGTCAGAGAGTCTTGCAGGGAAAAGTTTCCTGGAAAGTTTTCCTATGGAAGAGCCAGGTCAGTGGGCACTGCAATCCACAACTACCCCATCATTACATCAGAAGCTGTTTGCTACTTACCACTTTCTTGCCTATGAAGGCAAATACTCCAGCAGTGACCTCACCTGCAAATATCACCAACAGGCAAGCAAAGAACTGCAGAGGAAGGAGAGAATCTCACATCAGAGTAGCTTGTTCATGGGGGCTGCCACCAGCCCCTCGTCCTCCCCAGGCCCCAAAGCCCACCCTGAAGCAAAACTCCTGAGGGGGCTCTGCACAGGGCTGCCAAGGCAGATTCCTTGTCACATTCAAACCAAGGGGAAATGGCAAAGATGTGGCTCAGAGGGAGCTTCAGGAAAATCAGAGAATAATTCCAGGGAATACATCACAAGGGACAAGCAAGGGCACCTCTGCATGTATGCCAGCTCTGCAATAGCACGGTGGCTGCTGAATCCAGAGAAACCGGATTAGCCAAGAAAAGGACATAAGACCTTTCAGGTCAGGACTGTAAAGATCTTCACATTAATGACACCAAGCCCTGAATGCTTTGGATGGTTTCCCTGCACAGCCCAGGCCCTGGAAACCTTTTACTCACTGTTCCAATTAAGCACTGGGACTCCCGTGCTGCTCCACAGCACCCGAAAAATCCAACTGCTGACATGATGGCCCCTGCTCCCACCAGTACATAGAGTCCTGTGGAAATCAGAGCCAGGCAACAATTTCAGAAGGTTTCTCTCCCCAAAGCCTGCTACCTGTTTCATCAGCCCCACCCATTTGCAGGCATAAAGAGGTCTCTGGCTCTCACAAAACTGGTTACACAGAAAAGGTTCTCTGACCACAGGAGAGCAATACTTTCTTCAGAATTCTTGGAGAATTAAATAAGATAATTTGAGATTAGCTGAGTTGGTTAGAGCATGGTGCTAAAAACACCAGCTTTGCAGGTTTGATTCCTGGATGGGCCATTCACTTAGGAGTTGGACCTGATGATCCTTGTTGGTCCATCCCTTCCAAATGTGATAAGAATCTGTGACTTCCACCTTCCTAGTTTGCTGTCCCAGGTTCAGCTCAGTGCAGAAAGAACAAGCCCCATACCACCCGGAACCCCCTTACACCTCTGCAATAAGCAATGTAAGGCAAAAAAAGCCCAGCTTTGCTAGAGAGCTTATTCCTGGGAAACCTGGGGCTGGAAATGTTCTGTATGCTCTGCAGGGGGGGGAACTGAAAGGAATATGGGAGATGGCAGCATAGCCCCATCCAGATCTAGGACCCCAGCTGTAAGCTGACACCTAGAAACACTTATTCAACAGGTGTTTTGATTTTTTTTTTTTTTTTTTTTTTTGTTTTTTTTTTTTTTTTGTATGGGCTTTATCTAGGACAAAAGGAAATCAGAGTACAGAGTTTTTCTTTCCTCACTTGTGAATGTACATTTTTTGATCTGTGCTTAGGCAACACTCGGGTTCCTGTGCGGGTCAGCTCCCACCAGACCACAACCACGGGGCTGTGCCTCGGCTCTGGTACCGTGCTGGTGCAATTCTAGCCCTGTGCAGGAAGCACAGAAATCTGCCGTGCTGAGCCACTGCTGGGGAAAAGAGCTTCATCTTCCTTCTCCTCGTGTCCTTCTGGTGAGGGACAGTGGAGCTGCAGGCAGAGCGCACTAGAGGGCACAGCGAGCCTTGCTCCCAGCCGGGACTACCCAAGCTCCCACTGAGAGCCTTTAGTGTGCTCAGTTACCAGTGTAAACATTATTATCACATCCGACACAGGGTTAGCAGAGCTGCTGGCATTTGCTGTTAGCAGGCCTTGTGTAACCCGGACTAGAAAATCCTACAGATGACAGTTTGCAATTGCTAGGAAAATGTAAAACCAGTCAATGTTTGAGTGCAGAGCTTCCATCCAGCTGCTCTGCCTCACTGGTGCAGCCTGCTCGGGGAAGGCCAACTCCTGCCTGCTGCCCATTCACTGCCACACTTCAGTCTCTGTGTCTATCCCAGTTACTGTGATCCTTGTCCTCCCCTCCCTCCCTCCTTCTGGCCCAGTTCCTGCTGAGAGATACATTCTGATAAATAGCAATAAAACAAGTAATATGGCTTTGCCTACTAATTGTAACATACACGGTGCTGGGGGGATGCTGTTTGCTGTCTGTGTTGGCAGTTCTTATTCCATGTTTTCTGGATTTTTTACACTCAGCCACCTGTGACTTGCTGGGACTGAGCATTCTTCAGCCTGGTACTTGTACACATATGCACAGCACTGGTTTTTACTGCTGTACAAAGATATTTATGGCTCAGGGGAGAAAGGTCAGCCAGCCCTGGTGTTAGATGAATTGGAAAAGACAAAAAACCCTCCCTCAGGTGCAGAACCTGGTGCTCACCAGCCAAACACCAACACTGCCATTTCCTGGGATCTCCATGGTAACAAACACAGTGTAATTACAAAGATGTTTCCTGGACGTATTCAGTGTGTCACTCCCTACTCCTGTCCCTGTACTTATCAGGCCACTTAGCAAAGATAAATTTGAGTAAGGAGACAGGAAAGGAGTCTTCCCATTTATTTTTGTTATTTGCAGCTAGGAAAGACAAAGCTCTTCGAGTCTGGGGTGAGACCACTTTCAGGAATTTGGATTTGCATTTGTCAGAGAAACAGCCTGAGCATTTCACTCGAATGACTCAGAGCTAAACCACTACCTCAGTGAGAACTTCCCTTTTAAGGCGTGTTACAGGAAGAACTCACACCACTCACTAAACAAAGCTGAGCCCCACAGCAAGCCAGCCAGGAGTTAAAATCCACCTTCTTCCATCTTCTGCTCAGGAGAGTTCATCCCACTTTGTCCTTTCTGAGCCTGGGACTACCACTTGCTGATACCCAGCTATTTCTAGATGGAAAATAATGTTGACACTTAAAATTTCCACAAAAATAATTATATTTTTACTTTTCTACTATATATACACACATGTAATCTTTCACACAGGAATGAAACTTGTGATTTTGGGGTTGTCCTGAGGCCAGGACTTGGCCTTGTGGATCCCTTCCAATTCTGAATATTCCATGAGACCTATGAAGAGTAGCTTGAAAAAAGTCAAAGGGGCCAAGTTACTCCTCAGCTTGCACTGAGAGTTTTCCCAGCACCCAGGGATGCTCAGTGGAAGATGACTTCCAGGAAGAATGTCTGTCAGAGATGGAAGTGTTGTAATTTATGGCTTAAACATCTTCAGGAAGGATTTTTGCCTATTGTAGCAAAACACGACCACCACGTCCTGACCGAGGCCCTGCTCACTACTCGAGATAAGACAGAGTGGCTCAGCTCAGCTCTGGGGGTGCACTCGCAGGGGTCCAGCTCAGCACCTTCGTGGTGGAGACTGCAGCCCAGGGCTGTCAGTGGCCAGGCTCACACAGAGCCTCGAACCAAAGGCTGGGAGGAAGAGAGGTTTGGGCGTGTGGTGAGAAAACCCCTGTGGTCAGAGGCAGTGAACCACCATCCCCTGCTGGGCACAGGAGCCCAGCTGTGTGCCCTGCACCCCGGGAAAAGCCGCATCCCTGGCGGACAGCGGAGTCACGGCCCGTCCCAGGCCCCCAGAGGGGTCCCAGACCCTGCACTGCACTTGATGTGACAGATCCAGAGCCTCGCAAGGGACAGTGGCAAACCCAGCCCCCCTCAGGAGGCACGGGGGCGTTCCCACCTGCCCCAAACCTTATTAATCCACTGGATTCTAGACTTTGCTTCGGCAGAGGACGCTCACCACCCAGAGGAGCAGATGGAGGGGAGCAATGAGACATCCTTGGGACCCTGGGGTGGGTGATGTGCTTCCACCTAACCCCTGCCACTCTCTCCCTGTCCATGCCTCCCCTGCTTTTTCTTTTTATATTTCTTTCTTTTCTCTTTCTTTCTCTTTGCCTCTTTTAAATAAAATATATCAATTTTTTGGCACCAACACCTAACATTGTTTGGTTTTAATAATGTTTTTTGGGTAGATTTTGAACATTTCTGTGTTCAATCAGTTTTATTCACAGATTTCATTTTCTTTGCTCTTCTGTGTTTAAACCGGTTTTTACCAATATCAAACCTGTAGATGCAGAAATATCCTGGATGGTGTAAGTATGTAAGAAGGATCTGGTATTTCTTTTCCTAGAGGGCTGTACACGGCAATGTAGGCATGTTCACCTCAAATTCTTGATAAGAACAGACCTAAATTTAAAGTGAGACTCTCCACAGAGAGAAAAAAAAAGCAAAGGGTGGCAACGTCTGGCACACAGCCCTTGGAATCCCAGCCTTACCTAAAGCATCAAGCACTGAGAGCTGTCAGGGCCAGCAGTGCAAATCCAGACTTTTGGTGATTAACATCACACCTTTCCTTGCAATAGTATCCAGTGTCAGGATAACTAAGGTTCACTAAAACCCATCCCTTCCTAAAAAGCAGGATGGAAAGCCTTAATCAGCTTCTATTCATCAGCACTTCCATTGTAAAGTACAAAGCCTTGGCATGGCCTCCAACTTGGCATCTACAGCACAGCAGGGAAACAAAAAAAAAGTCAGTTTATAGCCACAGAATGGAACAGGTTTGAGAGCTACAAACTGACACAAACAATTCACCACAAAGCTCAACATGGCGAAAAGAAGTGTGTGAGTCAGGTCAGGGTAGAGAGCTTGTTTAGGTGAGTGGAAAATGATGAGAAGACTCTCCAGCTGCAGCTTTTTGTGCAGCAGAAGGAAAAAAAGTACAAGGTGGAAAGGAAGCAAAGGTTTGTGGCCTTTGTGAATTTTTTCCTCTCACCTCTTGTTGCCTCTGTTCATTTCCTGCAATTCTGCTCTTTGGTCTGTGTGTGCTCATGGAGAGGAGAGAGGGTTGGCACCTAAACTGAGAGCAGGGGGTGCAGAGAGCAGGAACGCTGCTGTGGCATCGAGGAGGGCCAAGCTGGCCCCAGAGAGAGCTCTGCCACCTGTGATTGCCCACACTTGGAATATTTACTCCACCTGCATTTAGGACTCACAAACAGGTCACTCCCAGCCCCTGAATGCAAGGGGATGAAGAGGCACATTCCAGAGATAAAAATCCACGTGCAAATCTGACAGAAGATTGGTTGATTTAGGCAGACACAGCCAGGGCACTGATTACTGAGGGAGTTCTGGAGGAAAGAGGGGCTTCTTTATAACCACAAGAGGATGAAAAACAACGTGTCACAGGACTGGGGGTTTTTGAACAGAATCTATTCACTTAATTATTTTTGGGGGGGTAAGGAAATATTGAGGTTTTGGGGTGTGGTTTGTTTGTTCTGCTGTGCTAACACGCCCCCCCCCCCAAAAAAAAAAAAAAAAAAAAAAAAAAAAAGCTTTTTAATAGATGTGAAGAGGAATGAAGACTTCTCCTTTTAGCAGTAAGTCAAGTGAGAGGACACCTGATAACAAACTGATTTCCCTTCTGGCTGTAATGTAGTGAGTGAAAGAGGGGAACCCCCTTCTGCCATTGTTTTATTTTGCAAAGACAAATTAGGAAAGCCATAAAGCAGCAGCTTTTATGTGTATTTGATTTTTTTTTGATTCATCCCATGGGGAAACTCATTCTTTCCTGAAAGGAAATTGTCAAATGGGGGCATTCCCCATGAAAATTCCAACAGGAGGGATTCCCATTTTCTAGCAGACTCTGCTTTGCAATTACAAGGGGAATGAAAATGTTATCTGGCAGTCTCAGAGCATCCTG